TTTGAAAACTTTAAAATTATAATATATTGTCCGCTATATGCCATAAATTAAAGAAAACAGTAGGTTTTTGACGGTTTTTACCACTGTCATGTCCAAAACCAGTTTTTGACGGCAAAAACCCAACCCTGGTTGATGGTAAGCATTATCTAAGACAAATAGCTGTAAACAAATGAATTCTATGAAAGGCCAACCCCAATAATAAGATCAGCAAAAATTAGGCAAGTATATTTCTTGATGTCCAATATATACATTGCTGCTGTTGATAAAATGTATAATCAACTTCTACAGCTAAAACTCTTAATAGTCTATTTTTATGTTCTGGGTGCATCCATTGTAAGCACAACTTTAAAGTTGCTTTAAATTCTCTCATGCGAACTGGTTTTTCAGCTGTACGCAATCTGGAGTGCACACTTAACCTTGAATCCAAGGTACATACTAATTATTATGTATGCTATTATCATCATCGTATTTCTAAACCTATCAAGTGTGTCGACTTTATTTAAACAACGCTTATAAATTACAGACCTATCCTCTACAGAAAGACTACTTGCTGCTGTAATATTAAATAAATAAAGGTCCTAAATTCAGGCATGTCAAACATAAATTCCAAATGTTACCAGTTCATTAGTCATTTATACCCAGGAAAATCTGATAAAGTTTTTTCTATCATATTTCATTTAAACAAAACTATAAAATTATATTTTAACTAAATATTATACCTTTTAGGTAAAGAAAAGTAGAATCAGGAATACATCTATCAAGTTATTTTAAATATAACCTTTAGCATTTATGAATGAAAAATCGCATAAATAGAATTATTTTCAAATAAGAAAATTGTGTGCTTGTTGTAATAAAGTATAAAAAACAAAAACTTTCCGACAAGGAATATGGTCTTATGAATATCAGTTAGCAAAAAAAAATAAGTTAAAATTTTTTTTTCCCAAATTTAACCTACAGTAGCTTCAAAGGAACTTTAAATTATCTTGTGAAGAAATATAATTTATAAAAACTAGAATAGAGTTTGACATGCCTGTTTTAGTTAAGCCAGAAAATAAAAGTTTTTACAAAGAAACACTATTATTTATGGAAGAGGAAAAATTTAATGTCTTGAATAGGGTTTGAAAATTTCCATTTGATACATAAATGAGACAGTGTAATACAATTTTACATCACATTACCTTAAAAAAAAATAATACAGAACTTTGTTAGGAGGGTGAAAAAGTTTTTCTGAGTCGAAATTTTGTTAAGATAAAATACTCCATGTCATTTAAATAGTTTTAATTGATTTTTATTTGAAAAAAACTCACAGCAAAAATAATTTCATAGTTGCATGTCCTTTTAATCAATTGTATGCACCGAAAATAATTTATTTATAACAAAACAAGCTTCAGAACAAAATTTTGAAAGAGTATAAATTTTAATTTAGGATGAAAATGATTTATTTTCCTGTTAATTAAAGCTTATATAATTTATGAAGTTCACAAACTTTGTGACGAACAACAGAAAAGTACCAAATAAAACTTCTTCACCAACCCCAAAATAAAGCAACACATTAGTAGGTAAGTATCTTATCCTTTTATGAAAGAACTCTGAATATAATAAAAACATGAACATAATAAAAACATCAACAGAGTTTCAGACAAACTTAAGCATGTTGTAAATAATATTCTTTCTCATTGGATAATTTTGAAAGAAAATATGACAATTCAAGCAGTAAAATATAATACAAGGATATCATTTTACTTGAGAATTTTTTCACTGTAATTTACCAGTGTTGATGCTGAATATTGTGCAATTACTGTTCTTAATTTAATTTTTTGAATATTTGTCAAAAATGTTCTCAGAACATATGCTTGAGTTCTCAAATTTAAGCGAGATATTTACACATATAGGATGATTTTAGGAAATTTTTTGTTTATTTATTGATATGAATAAATTTAACAATACATTTAAAATGTACTGGTTATTTATAGGATTTTGAAACATATAAGTCTCTAGCAAAAATTTAGCTTTTTCTTCCAAGCCATGTTTTCTGGGGAAAAAAATATTTTCCTGAAACTATTTTTGATTTCACAAGCGAAAAAATAAATAATTAGCTGTGAGGGCAAAAGCTGGATGAATTCTTAGTGAAGTACAAGACCATCATATTTATATGCATGTGTTTTAAGCAATCTTATATAATTCCTATTTCCTATTAAACTTTAATGCCTCAAATATAAATTGAATTTGGCGATAGCAAGTTCTTGGGAGTATGAAATTTTTTTGGAAATAGACTTGGATACTTATGAAATAAAAATAAAATTGAAAAACTCTTGTAATTTTTAACAGTTTTAATACCTAAATATTGTATGAAACAAACTGATATTATTTGTATTTTTTATACGAAAATATAAAGTTAGCTTTCAAGTTCCTCACTAACAAACTACTGGTTTACAATCCTTTTTTAATGAAAAAAAAAAAGTAGTTTTAAACTAATTATGTTTGAGCAAATAATTTATTATAATGAACTACTGGTATCACATTTTTAAAATTGTTTGCTTAATTTGTTTAATGCTTGATTTTAATAAGATATGATGCAAAATACTTTTTATAAAATAAAATAAAAGTTTCTGTTTTTTTTTCCTGTAATATAAGAAGGCAACCATAATGATTTATCAAACTCTGAATCAAATGGTTCTATTTTCTGCTTTTTCTTCAAGAAACATTTTCTGATATATATATACAATCAAAAGGTAATAAATTTATAGGTTGCAAATTCAAAATAAAAACTTTAACAGGAAAAAAATAATAAAAAGTATCTTAGAATTAGTGTTGCAAATAGGAGAAAAAAATCTGAGAATAAACCAGTTTTTTTTGGGGGGGGGATTATGAAAATTTCCTAAACAAAGGAATTTTGAGGACTTCTTAAAAAGTTATTTTTTATACTTATTTTAAAGTATTCTACTGCGAGTTTTTGTTGCTCTTAAATGCAAAAGAAGTATATAGATATTGCTAATTTCAACCGCTGTAATATCGCATGTGGACCGAAATATAACATAATTAAATATATCGTGTTTTTCTTGTATTTCGTTACGAGTGCAATAATGAATATTAAAATTATTTGCTTTTTTACTAATAGATAATTTAAGCAGATTTCTGACATAAAAACGGTTAGGCCTATTTCTTTAATTGAAAATCTTTTCTTAAAAGGTTTCAGAATAAGATTTAAAAAATTTTCCTCTTTTACATTTTTTATTCATTTTATTTAACCCAGAAGATTCTTAATTTCATAAAATACTTGATATAAGATTGCATGTTGAATGGTTAAAAAATTTTTCTTTATTTCTAATTTATCCTAAAATTGACCTCTGTTTATAAATGCAGGTTAATTTTAGTATGTTTTCAACTAAATAGAAACACATGTTGATTTAATTTCTTTTTTTTAAATGCGCAGAGTATATTTTTAAAAAAAATAAGCAGTGAGAATTTATCTTTACGTAATTAGAAATCTTTTTTTTTTTTTAACCCTATTGAGAGCATAAAAGATTTCTTCTCGAAAATTCGCAATCTTTCCAAAAGTTCATTCCTCAAAAATCCCTAGTTTATTCCCCAAAATTCCTAGGTTTTTCCAAAGCTGTTTAGAATTGTATTCCAAACGGGATATCATCTGTTGATGCAAAATCAATTTTAGGCAAAAATTGCAACTGATTATTTTTAGGAAATGGTTTGTTATCACATCGAAGATCAGACCAGCATAAGCTTTGACGTGACTCACTGGGAAAACTCCTCAATGGCGATATGTGTACAGTTCTTACGGAAGACATATTGTTTGTTTGGAGAGATATACGCATTCCAGCTTCAAATCCATGCACAGGAGAATTGAAAACTGCCTTGTTAGGCTTTGGATAAGGACTTGGAGGAAGTGGTATATGTCTTGGACTATCAATGAACCTTTGTAGATCATGAGTAATATAAGGTTCAGGGTTTGAATTCGAATGGTGTCCAAAATCTACTGGATTGCTGTATGGAGAACAATGGGCCTCCACAGCTTTCATATTACTGTGCTGGTTTTCATCAAGTTTTTTCCATTGTCGAATATGGTTATGGCGTTCCCTACTTTCTATTCTTTTTAAATAAGAATGATGAGATTCTTGAAACTTGTTGCTTCTTCTCTTTCGACATCTTCTGCTTCTCTTAGACTTTTGAGGAGTAAAGATAATTTCTGCTCTCTTTCTGTTGTTCTGTCTCTGTTCGTCATTTGTACATTTTTCACAAACATCAGGCATGATTGTAACAGATGAAACCTAAAAATAATTCGAAAACAAGTATAAAATTACTGTTACAAAAAAATAAAGAAATAATGAACATATGATCGATAAGAGGCCAATGGACGACATAGAATAGAGGCCAATAGGCAGATCAAAAAATTGCCAATTTTGAACATTAATAAAAATGGGATTTTTCCTTGTCTTACAGAAATATGTAACAATATTTATTCTTATAATGAAACATGTCTAAATATAGATGTCTATATCCTTTGCATTGTATGCAAACAATTCACTTGCAGAATATTACAAGACTAAACTTTTGCATGAAGCTAGAAGAGGGTCCACCAATGTGCTTCGCAAAGCTTTTTTCATTTTTAAATAAACCTTTTATGTAAAATTTTCAAAAAGTTTCCATGAAATTAACGTTTTAGCCATATTTTCTAATTTAAACAATGACCAATTTCAATTGAAGAAATTTTTTGTCCCTCTTCTGTATCTTAAGGGTCGGTCGTTCTCGCAAAAAGGTGATTTTTTTTTTTGGCCCTTAGGAATAAATATTAGGAAGTGCAGCAGATTTCTCAATATTTTTCTTGGTGTGTTTTAGTTAAGCTCTAACTAATCAATCATATGCATTTACACAGAACGAATTTTATGTATATATATATATATAGTTTTTTAATAAAATTGACTTTAAAATCTGCTCTGTGGACGTCCCTACGTCTCTGACACAAAATAATTTTTAGTGGCTGTCAAACAATTTAAATGTTCTTTTAAGGGTTTTTGTACTGTTAACTAGTTAAATGTTTATAGTAGCTTCTTATTTAATATTTTAAAAAATAGTTTTACTTTTATAAAAAAAATGACTAGTAAACTTTCCATAAAAAACGAAGTCTCCCAAGAATGAATGAATCAGTCTTCATTGACATTTTAAACCTAGAATGTCTTCTCTGTTGACTATTATATCTCCTCCATTGACAAGACAGAATTTAAAATATTTGAAATCTTATAAATAAATAAAAAAATAAGACAGAAAACTCTACTATTATTATACGGACATAAAACAAAAATATATAAAGAAATTTATGTCATTTTTATAACTTTTTTACTTGATTTAAGAAAAAATTTTAGTCTATTTATACCTTTTTCACTGATAAAAACCCTTGAATAGGTACATTATTTATTTAGTGTAAGAATAATCATAGACGCTTAGAGAAAAAATAGAATGGATTAGACAATTATTCATGTTGAATAAACTTACATAGCACCACCAAATTTTTAAGATACTATACCCTCTGCAGTGGATGCCTTTTTCTTTCTTTTTTTCCTTTATTTGATAGAAAGGAGTGCTTGTCATTCTATAGAGCTTTCACAGATTTTTTTCCTCAAAAAAATTTAAGCGATAAAATTTGTGATTTGCAACTTATTCCTAAACATTTACCAGTTTTCAGACTTTAAGAAATTTCTTTTATTTTTGATTAAATTATCTTCGCTCGTGAACATAACAGTTGAGTTAAATCTGTTTCAGAACAACTGAAATCAATATCATGCCCGTAAAACATATATATTTACCTTTTTTGGCTTATATGTTTCCTCCTCATCAGAAATTGAAACAGGATTTTCTTGTGATCCTTCAGATTTAAACCTAAAATAATTTTATTTGAGAGTCATGAAATTTGTAATTAATTAAGTTAAGAAAATTTGTAAGTAATTTAATTAATGTTAACTTTTTTCTTCTAAGTAGAGGAAAGCTGCCTAATTTGCAACAGCTTTTAAATATACTGGGCTTTAGCAATGCTTATATAAGTTCTACTAAGAATCATTACATTCTAAAGAGAGTTATTATTTAAAAAAAATATATACTATATATATTTTTATATTATTTTGTGACAAATATTAAACTAATAGAGTAGCATGCGCTAATTACCAGTTAATAAAGATTTTATGTATGTATCAGAGTAATGCAATCAAAAGAGAATTATGACATAATTCAAACGTTTTACTGCATCAGCAATAGAGAATAAAACTATTCTTCAATGGTTCTGTTATCAATGGAGGTAACACTTTTTAATTTGCAAATAATATGGTATTTTCGTAATGGTTGTGAACTTTTAAACGTTATTTATGTCTTTCAGTAGAAATTTTATTCATCTTTTACAAATACCCTTAAGATAATTTCAATAACAGCTATAAACATTATCATTAAGAAAAAAAGCTAGTTTTATGCAGGGTTTGTTGATTTAAATCAAATGATTTTTTTATATATATTGATTTAAAAGGTTAAAAAAACAGTATTCTAAATTAATTATACTTTTATTAAATTATTACACTGTAATTTCAAATCACAGAATGAAAATGTCTATGTTATTAAATTAAATAACGCAGAATTAGAATTGTGCTGCCTCTTTTATCAATAGGTATTTTTTTTCTCATAATATGTTCACAGTATCTTTGACATTATCAAATTTTCTATAAAGAAATTTTGTAAAAAAAAAAATTCCTATGAGTATATAGATTTTTTTTAAAAAAATTTATAACTTATCTATTTTGATCTAGAATTAAAAATGAATATTTCAATATAGAACTATATAGATTAAATATTTATAAACGCAATCTGTTACATTTATTTTGACATTTTAAAAATCAAGAGGGAAAAAAAGAAATTGCAATTTTAAATTAAAATTATGGTTTGCTAATTGAAACTTTGTCTTAATAGTTAAAGTATTCTTGAAATTCTCTATTTCATCTAGTTTTTAAATTTCTATCATGCATTTGTTTCAAAATGGTTGCTATGCATTCAAAGCTAAGTGTTATAATGAAAAATTGTTTTAGGTAGTTAGAGCTTCTAAAATATCGTCGTACTATAGTTTTATTATTAATTTAATTTTGATTGATTTATGATTAAAGAACTTTATAAATGATTAAAGTTCCTGCAGTGTATTTGAATAAAAATAAAAAAATTCCGATTTAAATAAATAAAAAAAATCGTTTTTTTTAAAGAAATCCAAAAAAAATTACGAACCCTGTTTTTGTGAAAATCAAAAGAGTTTTTGATCAATCTTATTAAAATTTCAGAAAGTACTTATGCATTACATTGATTGAACTGGTACAAATACGCAAAAAGTTACGAAAAGTCGAAAGTTACTGATTTATTTCACAAATTTTTATCCAGATATAAAAATCTCGCTAAATTGACGGTGTTTCAGAAGAAAAAAAATATTTTATTTTATAACCGGTGTTGAATCGCTGACCCGATTCTGCGTTTACGACTATCAATGTTTGCGTTACATGAAATGGAAAACCGCAAAAACCTCCCAAGGCTAACACCACGCCAAAGAAATTTTAACCCAGAATCTATTTACCATTAAGGATATTATATGTCAACACTGTGGTCGGTGCGAGCAGAATTTATATGAACCAGCCACTGCTGGGATTCTAACTTAAGTCAACTATATTGGGAGACTCTTGAAAATATAATTTTATTTTATATCAGGCGTTGAAGGGCCGACCTAATTTTAAATTAACAACTATCAATGTTCAACTCTATTAAATTTTGAACCCTATCCAGAAAACAAGGAAACTCCTGAATCAAGCATTGGGAGAAACCAGCCTTCGTAGAGAACTTTTTGATGAAACAAACCTATATTAGCATTCTATTAAGAGGAAAAAACCCTCAGTTATCCTGACGGCAAAAGGACTAACCCATAATTTGTCTACCACTTTGGATAATTTATGTCAGCAGTGTGGTCGGTGAGAGCCGGATGCAGAATTCACATCGACCAGCCATCGCTGGGATTTGAACCTGGGTCCACTTCATAGGGAGCCACCTTCAGATTTAGTCCGCTAGAAAACAGAAACGATTTCACGAAAATAAAGGTATTACTCGGTTTTAACCCCTCTTTCCGTACATACTTTAAAATTAAAGATTTGTCAGTCAAAGGCACTCAATATGTAGCTTTTATTTATCTATTTACAAGGAAAAAGATCTTTGGTGAACACACATAATGTACTTCTTTTATAGAATGCTACAAGCGGATTTTGATACGCAACCAGAAAAATCTCGTTTTAAACTACAGAATTGATTATAAAACAGATTACCTATGAGGTAGAGAGACATTCCATGCGATACTAATGTGAGTTAATAGCAAGTTAGTAACATATCGAACAGCTTCAGGATACCAATGAATCCCATCAGGAGTCCTCCTATGAATTTGGAGTTTAAGGTGGTAATGAGAATCCACAACATCGAATCCATGATCAACAACTACCTATAAAACATTTGTTCTTTTAACTTCAGCACAATACATAAAAATATAAAATATTAACAATGAAATAAATTAACCATTTTTTGAAAAATCTAAATTTGTCTAAATTAGTGAGTACAGTAACAGATAACTAGTCAAATTTTCATTTTGCAACTTAGCTAAGTTAACTGTAAACCGAGCTTCTTCATAAAGGCTTCATCTTTGCTCTGAATGCAAACAAAGCGTCACTTTAGTCGATACATACTTTTGTCCACAGACTAGTGAAAAGTGCACCATGAATTTATGGACACATTGCATTACTATAATTTTACGTACTCGTACAAATATCTAAATACACCTATCATACTGAGCATTTTATTATTTATGCCAAAATTATTCTGTACTAAATTACTTATAAAATTGTATTTACTATATAAAACATGCATATCATGCACAATTTATTTTTATTTGTTTTGAAAAAATCATGAAAACGGACAAAGGTAAAAGGATTTTGAAAAATCTTACACCAGTTAAACACCAGTTGTTAGTTTATTTTTGAAAATCAAAGATCATATCCCCAAAAGTTTCACACCCAAAGATAAATGGCTCAACTACCGAAAAATTTGTATTATTAAATTCATTATTTAAACCAATAAGAGTCGCTTTTAAAATATCAAAATCACCCATTTTCATAATAAGATTTAATCAATGTTTTTAAACTGTGTATTTAAATCGAGCTTAATGCAATGCAATGCACTGAATTCGCAATGCTGGATAGTCTCCAATTAGTAGTTCGAAAACTGAAAATATTCAATATAAATTGGAAATTTTTCTAAATAATAGAAAAGGAAACTTCACAAACATTTCTAGCATAATGATTAGCTTCCACAACATGAAAGCGTATAGAATATTTCAAAAATTCAATTTCTTTCACTAGGAAACCTCCAGTTGGATCACATGCAATGGGTGGAGCTGTAACCCAAATAACTAAACAATCAGGAATCCGTTCTTTCAAGTCTTTCATCAGACGAATCAAATTCTTTTTGTAAAGTTCAACGCCATTTGGTCCCCATCTATAAATATAATACATTTCGTTATTATTTTCAAAACATTTTGTTATTGCTGACACTTAAATAGTGACAGCAGGACAAAATTTACTACTAGATTTATTTCACACTAATTTGTAGTACTGTGACATATCACTAAGTTGTTGTAGTTTTAGTTTCATTTACGTCGCACTAGAGCTGCACAATGGGCTATTGGCGACGGTCTGGGAAGCATCCCTGAGGATGATCCGAAGACATGCCATCACAATTTTGACCCTCTGCAGAGGAGATAGCACCCCCGCTTCGGTAGCCCAACGACCTGCACGCGAAGTCGAGCACTTTAACGAGGACCAACAACAGTTTAACGAGGACCAATACCGCACACCCTCGGTCCCTACGCAATTGGAAATTTTTCTTCTGTTTACTGAATATTTTATTTAATTTGAAATGACACAAAATTTTCAGTTGATGAAAACAAACGAATAAAGCTTTTCGGTATTATTGGGGACGTCCCGTTAAGATATATATATATAATAATTAAAAATTGCATAGATCATCATGCCCTTTTCCAACGAAGGCAATGGAAAGAAGCGTGTCCGTCTGTGTATTATTGAAACTGTGAATGTGCAAATTATCGACCTTGTTTTCAATTTAATTTTTTTAAAGACTCAATCTTAATGGTTTTTTGGGGCTGGCCCCAAAAATATACTAATTAGCTAATATCGATGATATGCAAGTTACGAAATCAAACACTAAAACGTACTTTTTAAATAGTCTTTTTTTAAACTGAGTGTAGTGAGCAAAATATAGGTACATGCAAACAAAGAAATATGGTCCCAATAGTTTGGTCAGGTGAACGGGTCGAAAATTCAGACCTTTCAATGTTTTCTTGTTGCGTATTTCGCCATATCTAGAGAATTTTTTAAGCGAGTGGAAAAATTTTTGCACACAATCATAGAATTTGTTTATCCAAATATAATTCGACGCAAAAAAATTTTTAATAATGAAATTATTATTCCGTTAAAAATATTTTGAATTGTATGGCAAACACATTTTTACGTCCTTTTAAAAAATGTAATTAAAAATGTAAAATTTGAAGGAAATTAGTCGAAGAGTTCCTGAGATATCTTATTTTAAAAAAGTAAAAATCAGATCATTTAAGATTCGATTTCTCATTAAATATTGGGACGATTTCGCTCAAATTTTCTCATATAAAATACATTCTTTAATATTATTTACCTTTTCAATTTAAAAATTCTTCTACAATTGTTAAATAAAAAGATAAAAAACATTTTTCCGGATTGCGATTACCCCCCCCCTCCCCATATTTTTTAAGCCAGGAATGAAAACCCATT